TTCGATCGAAGTGTAACTTAGAATGTCAGCGGACTAGAAAATAAAGAATCAGAACTGGATCCACTAAGAAATCGAACATCCAGATATGGGGATAGCAGATACAAGAAAAAAAAAAGGGGGTGGTGGAGATAAACATCAAAACGAATACAGGAAAATTACGTTCTGATGGAAAGCGGTGTCTGTTCAAAAAAAGAAAAAAAAAAAGAGCAAAGCCTAAACATTAAGCCTAAGCATTATCATATCAAAATCCGTTTCAGAAAAGAATAATAATAATACAGATTAGAGAAGACAGTAGAACAACGACTGTTATACAGACTTAGCCCCTTGTAACGACAGCAACAGTAACGAATAACTGGATTGTCTTTCAGATATATTAACTAGGGTGATCAAGAAAGACGAACTGATAGTGATGGCTGATATTATCGGAAGGATGGGTACAAGAAGAACACCATGGGAAGGCTGGATAGGACCATTCAGCGATGTGGAGACCGAACGCAATAGCAATGGTGAATCGTTACTCAACGTGTGAAAAAGGATCAAATATAACCAGTTGTGTTTTGTTTTGTTTTCAACGTCGGCATAACCGCACTAAAAACTTGGTAGACACAGAATGACATTCAAATAGATTGCATCCTGAATGAGTGACCTTTAACCCCACTATTCAGATGAAAATCTTCCAGTAACAGGTCCCACAAACCCCGTATAACTAACAGGTTGAGTTATATTAAGGCCCCCGGCAACAGCCAGGGTGGGGCTTAAAATAAATTTAGTCCGACATTGGGATGTACTGTAATAATATGATTTCATTCTTATTTTAAAAAAAGACATCGAGAAGACAATTATTGTACTGAAGAGCACGGCTAAACACAAACACCAAAACTGACCATAAACCAATTATAAAAATACATAAAGTGAATAAACATAAGAAAACAAGACAAATGAAGTTATTAACTGAAGTCATCAATGTGAGGAAGTTACACGATAACGCTGCAAAAGCTAAATTAATCAAGACATCCGAAAGCTGTGAAGTAATCTTCCTGATGGGTAACTTTTTATATACAACTACAGGGCAAACTTTAAATCCACCGTACTCAACAATCATGGAACCTTTTGAGGCCGTTAAATATTATGAATTAATCAAGTAACAGAAAGTATTGTGATCGGCACTCATAGAAAGAAGTAGAAAGATAGAACACACTAGACAACATAAAAATCGAAAGCTATAGTTACCGAGCCGGGAATTGAACCTTTCACCTCCAGACGGCGTCTGCGCCTCGTCATCAATACAAGTGAACTAAGATACATGGTCAACTAGGCACCCCCATTCATGGCGAGGCGCAGACGCCGTCTGGAGGTGACAGGTTCAATTCCCGGCTCGGTAATTATAGCTTTCGATTTTTATGTTGTCTAGTGTGTTCTTCTATCTTTCTACTTCTTTCTATGAGTGCCGATCACAATACTTTCTGTTACTTGATTAATTCATAAAAACAAGTGCGGAACAAAAATATTAGGACTGACAAAAGATTAAGAGCTGCATGGGGGGAATAACTATGTCAACATTATTTCTGAAGGGAGGAAGTATTTAAAAATGATTCAATTCAAATATGTACCTGAATAATAAGAAGCGAAACAAAATGAATGATCACAGTTACAAAAGATGAATCATGGAAAAAGAATGGGCAACAGATGGTCCCACTTAGTAGAAGTTTCCATACATAATGTTACAAACGAGTTAAAAATACGAGAGCAAAGGACGAATGCTACAATCCGACCACCATTATAAACAAGAGAGACAATACTGCATTTAATCCAAACAAGAATCTAGTAAGATGGACACGGTATTTCAAAGAACTTCATTCCTGAAAATGGTTCATTTAACGTCAATTTTGTGCTTCAAAGCAATGACCAGCACAAACCACACTTTTTCACATCAGAAGTAAAGGCTGTTGCCCTAAAAACAAAGGACCTGGTTTACATGGAATAACTGCAGAAGCAGTTCAAGCAAGTGGCAAAAGTTAAATTGTTCATAATGATGATGCTTAAATATTGCTATAGTAAATAAAAGAATGCTTTCCGGGTTTAAATAGTTTCGTGTCTTGTTACAACATCAGGTTAGTTGCGTATCCTTTACAGGGCGTTGCAGAACCAACCCCATCAGCCCCTGGCTGTTGTGTGATTTCACTAAGCAAATTTACGTCCAGTAGTTTGCCATTGCTTTCTGGACGGTCTGCTCCCTGATACCCCTGTCGAAACCAACGCAAGGCGTTTGGCCCGCACCTGGGATCGAACCAGGTACCCCGGCATTACGAAGCGTTCGCATCGACTTAGCCACATAGCCGACTGTTACAACATATAGGACACAACAAACAGAGTGGCCACTGTATCTTCTCCTCGTACTACTACTTTTACTTCCTATAGGCATTCTTGTCGCTGCGAGATTAGCGTTAGCGTCTGTGTAGTTGGGAGTTCATTTAAAAGTAACCCTACAACGCTGCAAATGCTATGTTCTAGGCGTGTCATGTGTTGGTTGTTTTCAGTGTGTTCAACATTTATTGCGATACCAATTTCAGTGTGTGTTACTGTCGTTCGTTCGTCGCCAACACTATGCGCTGTTTGCTTGCGGTGTTCTTACTTCACCTTTAATTGTCTTAATCTGACCTATCAGCATTTAAGCATCTAACTCTAACTTTAACTGGCGAGTATGCATAGATGGAGATGTCGCTCGTTTCTAGTGCCCTCCGCCGTCGACACCCCAAGATGGCCCTTTTCAGGGACCACCCCAAAATATCCCCACTGGCATCGCACTTACTAACATCTGCAGTAGAGGTTCAAGCCTAACTTTACGGGTCGCTAAGTGAATTACAGAATACAGCGAAGTTAATACTCGAGACGATACTGCAGATAGATAATCTATTTCGGACGAACACAAGAAGAAAAAAATATGCGGAAACTAACATTAACTCCAACCGCCTATACTATAGGACCTTACGGTTAACTAGCTAGGAATTCCTTACCAAAGCTCACAGCCAACGAGATGGGGTGAAAAGGCGGAAAAGTACCCCTGCATGTCTGCCTCTTGCTGCACTGCTTTTTCTTCATTTATTTCCTTATCTTTCAACACAAAGTTGGCGTTGAATATTGTCTCTATAAGTCCGTGTTTTCCAGTGACTCTTGTAGTGTATTGTAAAATCCTTCTTCTGCCCTTCTCTCAGCAGTGAAACACAGGCACTCAATCAACTGGCCCCAAGCTATTGTAGTCATGGTCATGGTTGGTTGACTTTTCCAGCTGCATTTTTTTGGGGGGTTAAATGCTGGGGTATCCAATCGGAGACGAACCCTAAGTCTTTAGGCAGATTTCTTTGTTTCCTCTTGGGTTCTCGGTAATGAACGGGAGACTGGAAACTTACTTGACTGAATAAACTTGGTGTTGAAAAAACATGTATAAGTGGGAAGTTCTTTTTACTCGATTTACTTCCAATGGTCAGAAGGGACCCACTGACTGGACTCAGCAATCTTGAAGAAATGTCCTTTGTCAGCTCCGCGTTGTCCACAGCTGTGTCTCCCTGAACAGGTAAGATACCCCAAATAGGGGTCATGAAATGGCTTTGTCGTTCGCATATGTGTTATGAAATTTCGAGTACGCTAATTTTACTTTTTTGTTAGTTTCTCAGTATTTTTTTTTTTTACACTGTCTTACAATATACACAACTTTTTTTTCTTTTTCTGTTCACATTACTGAGTACCTTACGCATTTTTGTCACAGTATACATTATTCATTTTCCAAAATTTATTTTTGTGTACTATAATTAAGGATCATTCTTGAAGCCATAGCATTAACCAAATCCTAATGTAATAAATACCTGTCTACGACCAGTTCATTGAATTGAAAAATAAAAAAAAAATAAACGACCCCCTTTATTATTTGTATCAGAATGACATAAAATACATGCAAACCCACTGTTAGTGAGTACTAAATCATGGATTTTTTTAAATGCTCGTTGGCGAATGCTGTCATCGGTGGGGGATGTTGCAGAATATGAAACTTCTTTTAGTGTCTGTTCTGAAACATTTAGAGCTTTTCTTGGCCCAACCAGCATAAGCATCTAATCTGCGTCTGAAAAGCCTGTTTCTGCAAGTTCTGATACAGTTTGAAATTCAGATTTTGCAGAAAATGAAACGTCTTCTGGCGTCTGTTCTCTAACGTTTGGAACTTATCTAGACAATATCTCATTTAGCTCAATAATACCTACGTTATTAAGCAAGTTATTGTTTTTGTGGGGACTGGGGGAAGGGGCCACGTGTACACACGGGCGTCTGTAGTGCGTGAGCTTTCCACAACAACAATAACACACTCCAGAAACAATACTGGTTCACACAAAAGACAGTAGCGAAAAGAAAGCTGCGCATTTGCGTCTGCGAGACAGTGTGTCGACCTCATCGAACGACTGCCAGTCATTTTGTGCCACGTTGTGTATAGACACCGAAAGAAGATTTAGTATAACACACCTAGAACACAGGACAGCCTGTGGGAACCGACACGAGATCTCGCGCCCGAGCGAGTTGGGGTGAATTCCGTGATTAGTACCCATAATCTGTAAAAATACGTGATAAATAAAAAATTAAAAATATAATGAAACAAACTGACAAAAATAATTAGGCAGGCTAAAAAAAAAATATAACTAAACAGCCAAAAGTTGTCTGCGCACACATAAAAATTAATTAAACACGACTAACTAACGCAAAATAAACAGACTAATTAATAAAGCACTGTTAAACAGACAGCCAAAAAAGTATTCAACGGGCCAACAAAATATTATTAAACAGGTCGGCAAAGAGAATTACCCACAATAGCAAATGCAATTAAATAAAATGGCATACAGATATTCAAATAGACTAAAAAAATTATAAAACCCAATTGTTGACATGACAACCTTAATTAAATATACTGACCACCAAATAATAAATACAATAACGACAATAATTAAAAACAAACAACTTACCGGCAATGATGACAGTACATGCTCCCGGGTACGCTTTCATGTTGAGAACAACTGCAAGCTTTCACTCGGAAATAAAACAAAGCAACAGCAGCGAGGCTCGACTAGTCTGTATGTGTATATCTCCCACAAGCTGGAATTTCAGCAGTTTCTGGTTGATGGATGGAAAGAGTTAAGATCAACACACCTGCTACCAACACGTTGTTTATTTTTCTAGACGGCTACACACACACAGAAGAGTACGCGATCCTTGACTACTAAAATACTACTTTCCCACTGCCAGCTTCAGTAGGAACAGGTGACCCAAGGCGATTGACGTCATGCAGATTGGACTCAAAATGGAAACCCTGTCCTTCCGAACTGCGACGCTCGAAGTGAATTAACAATGAAAGTTGGATACCTTGACAATGCGTGAGCCCGCACCCCGCACTTTAACCAGGGTATCGGATAATAAACAGCCTTCCGTGTGGCAGGATTGTCATGAATCTAATTTTCAGAGAAGCCCCTTTTCGCTCTGTCTTGAGCAAGTAATTTGACGTCCCTTATTTATACCTTACTTCCCTTTCGTCGGCTTAGCTGTTATAATCCTAAACCCATTACAACAGGGTTGGAAGTCAACTGCAGGTGATTTTACCACACACCGACCGCTGCACGTCGACTTCTGAATCTGCGTGAAAGCTGAACCGTGTACCCTTCAAGTCTCAACTAGATGGTTTCTTATTATTTACACATTCTACTTCTCACCTCTTGCAAGAGAAGTGAGTCACACCGAGGTAAACATCTCACAATTTCTAAATGCGTGTGTGGAGGGTTTACTTTGAACAGACTTACAAAATCCGAATTATTATATACACGACTTCGAGCGTCATATGGATCGACAAACAACAAATAAGGTTGTTTAAGAGCTTTAACTTTAATGAAACAGGATCAAACAGGTAATAAACAACATTAAGCTTCAACTAAGCAAACAGTACTGTGGTGTGACTAAGACAACCCACACGGCTTTGGGATACAGGCCTAGTAGTGTTTCCCCCAATTAATGCCTAGGCCAAGGCCGACGTCAGTATTGAAGACGGCCTTGCCTAGGCTGACCACACTTCCTTGATCCCCAAACGGGGCTTCAGGTGGGTGAAAAGGGACAATGTTAGGTAATATTCCCCACTGATTTAAAAGTAGGACCAGATAATTGAGCTACGGCCTTCCTCTATAATTTAGTGAGATGGTCGTGAAAAAGATGTTTCTTAAGTGTAAGAACTCATAAGAGAAAATATAAAGGATGTTAATGGGAACCATCAACAGTCAGTTTCCATCTTTCAACTGCTCTTACTGGCCCAAATACTATATTTTTGGGCGGTGTTGGTAGTGCGTGTGTATATGCATGTATGCGTGCGCGCGTGTGTTTGTGCGTGATGTGTGTTTGTGAGGGAAGGGGGGGGGAGGAGATAACCTGAAGCCTGAAGATTTTTTGCTTCATCGTTAACACAGTCGCGCCACGGACTGGGCAGATTTTATTTTAACCCTCGAAAGAAAAAAATCCGGTTTAATCACTCTGCCAACCGCCTGCCTCTTCTATCAACCAACATTGCCTGCATTATCTGCACATAAATTCCAAATGTCTAATTCGCCTGCATATTACTTACAACTTGCGCTTTTCCCAACAAATGATTCACTTCCTGGTAGAATAAATAAATAAACTGTCAAACAAATCGCGAAAATAAGTCGCTTTTGCTCGTAACACTGGCACTCAGTGATTTTAATATTTATGTTTATATATTACATTGAAACACTAGTATAGGTTGTAAATAACAATTTATTTGCCCTAGAGAATTTGTTGCAGTTTTACTAATAATATAATTATCTTTAAAACAGTCAAATTCTTTGAAGCCCTACGATAAATACCAGCTGCATTTGTCCTTAAAAATGACGATCTGAACCGGAATTTCACAAGTGAAAACCGCCCAAAACTTAAACTTTATTCACATAAGACGAGGGGGGATACTGCTAGACTTACAGGTGAAGACGATGCTGACCTTTAAACCGGTGTGTCTCAACGTTTGTCACACCAACGGATCAGTAAAACGTGGCGGTCGTGGGCTATTCAACTAGCGGCCAGCTGGCCACATCTTGCCGGCAGAGGCCTAGCACGCTATCCTCGGATTACCTGGCAATTGTATTGGAGTAATGCTCTTTCTACGTTGGGGCTGGAGCTTCAGGCCCAAGACGATCCCGATTTTCCATCATTTTGGCCACTCTATACACTTAGTTGTCTATAGATACAGAGGGAGACAATGTCAACGTGAAGTGCTGAGCTAGTGTAGAACCTCAAACACCGGGGAAAAAAACTGAGTAAATAATGTGCCTCGGAAAACGCTAGAGGGAAGAATGCTGTTGGACGGAGACAGTAAATGTGTCACGAACGAGTTCAAACTTCTCGTATAGACAGAGGATTTCCAAATTCTACTGAAGTTTCACTGAACATCTTTGCTAGGTCCTGGTTTCAGGTTAGCCTCTTACTGTCAGGGTCCCTGTTTAACCCTACGACTGAACGGGGTTTACGAAGAATTGTACATGTAAGATTCTGATCCTAGAGATGTACTCCTGTAGCCTGTAGTCCAGGAGGGGGGATAAACTGCAACAAGTGTAGACGTTGTCTAGTAGGATATTTTGTTACAAAGGTGTCAACGAAAAATCGATTCTAAGTAAAGGTAAAGAACCTTCTTCTTCTTGTGATTGTTCTTGTTCTTTCTTCTTCTTCTTCTTCTTCTTCTTCTTCTTCTTCTTCTTCTTCTTCTTCTTCTTCTTCTTCTTTGTTCACGGGCTGTAAGCTCTGGCAGAAAGTCGTAGTTGTTAGTCCATTTAGACATTTAAAAAAAAAAAAAAAAATTGTACTACCCGGTTCGGATTTTAACCCATGACCTTCGGAATTGATTGCACATTAAAGCAAATTCTGATTCTGTTGTGTTTTTTATTTTATGGTATAACGATCGACGTAGCTTCACATTAGGCGTTCCCAGGCTCACATGGTCCTCAGAAGTAGCAGCTATCTCATATTATTTCTTGTACTGAATACTCCCATGCGAAGTTGGTTAAGATATCCCTTCACTGAAGATTTTATAGATATGTTTTACCAGGTTTGACTTCCAGGTCACGCAGTAAGGTTAACTCGTTCATCCATTATATGCCACACTATAGGCAATGGTAAAAATTTGCGTTGAAACATAGATGGGAATTGAAGTTTTTGATCTTAAACAGACCAATTCGCGTTGACTGTACTGCGCTTTTGTAGTCAGCAGATACCTGAAATTATAATTATCCCAAGACGAAAGAAAGCCAACAATGTAAAAGTTAGTTGCGTATCCTTTACAGGATGTTGCATAGCCAACCCCAGCATTTATTGGAGGCTGTTGTGGTTTTTCTTGGCAAATTTTACATACTGTAGTTTGCCATTGCTTACTAAACGGTCAGCTCTCGATACATTTGTCGAAACCAACGCAAGACGTTCTGCTGCCAAATAGGCTGCAGCTGGGATCGAACCCGGCATTACCTAGTGCGTTTGCAACGCATAAGCCAGATACGCCGACTCAACAAGGTAAAATCCATTTAATTAAGGAAACAATTCACTAACAGCGGAATACTGGTTGAACCAGAGAATTTTTTTGTTTGCCTCTGACAGTACGATTTGGCTCGCAATATACCAATCACTGCCTGTTTTAATGCGTCTTGTTTTTCAGCATTACCGTAATAAAAACTTCATGGGAAACTTCTCCAGATTTAGTCAGGGCTGCCAATACTTGAACGCTATCCAACCCCCACCCACACGATTTGGGTTTTTATATGACGCCTTGGGCTCAGATTTCGGAGTCCAGGGATTTTAAAAATATATCTTTATGTAAAAGAGGGTAAATGTCTCGTTTCGTAACCATAAAATGTGTACTTTTTTTCGATTTTTGGTTTTTGATTTTCGTCGTGTGCTTACGTATTGCTTGGGTTTTTGGTTAACTTAGCTTGGGTTTGATGAAATCCAATTGGCAGCCCTGGGTTTAGTTGCTGTCTCTTGTTTTAGACACTTTTTTTTAGAGAGTAGCATCACCGGTCCCTCTGTGTGTGTGTGTGTGTGTGTGTGTGCGTGTGTGCGTGCGTGCGTGCGTGCGTGCGTGCGTGCGAGTGTGTGTGTGTGTGTGTGTGTGTGTGGGACAAGAGAGGGTAGTGAGTGGTAGAACACTGATTGCTAAGAAGCATGTCGTAAGAGTCGACTAATTCGGGATGTTTATTTCAAGTCGGAGTGCATCTGCCTGTTAAGAAAAAAAAAAAAACAGTCTGCAATACAAATAAGCTCTCCACCCTTCCCACCTTTTTTTCCCCGCCAGCCCCTCCCCATCCCGTTGCCTATGTTGGCACGATATAATTAATAAGGTCAAAGAAATAAACAGGCCCCACGCTACTGTGAGACTAACAAATACGTAAATGGTCAAGAATAGATCCTGTAGATTCTGGTTTTCAAGGAAGGTCACCTATAAATAGATCGCGCCTATAAATAGAAGTCATGAATAGAAGGACGACGATTATTTCTGTGGGTAGTTCTGAAAAGAACCACTGGAGTAAGTCACCCAAAGAATTGGCGGGGTTCGGTCGGATCGGTGATCAAAAACACAGCTCTCAAAAGGGATTGGGGAATTGTACACAACAAAAGCTGTGACGCAGATCGCATGTTTAAAAAAAAAAATCGTTCTTTGTCGACAAAAATACAAGAGTCGACAGTAGATATTTTCTGATTTCAGGTCAGGTATTTGAATACATTTCCTGCTTGTAATCCCTCTATAGAGCACAAAGCCTCGTCTACCCCTCGGGCTGCCAAGTCGCTGTGCTGTATTGATAGTTTCTGAACTTCATGTCATCATCATCATCACAAACCACTTCTGCCGTTATGCGGCGTGGGAAGGAATAATTTGCGATCCATTGCACGTTGGCTGCCACTGGCTATTGTCATGCCGTGAAGGCGTAGAGTGTCTTTAATGTTGTCGATCCATGTTTTCCGCGGCCGTC